CCCTCTGCTGAGGGGAGTTGTCGCTCGTGTTGGCATCTTCCCGCTCGTTCAGATGCTCCTTCTCCTGCTACTCCTCTTCACGGATTCCGTCAGCAGTCTTTCTTGGAATCCGTTTCCAAGAGACAACAGTTTGCGAGCACGCACCCGACGGTGCAGCAAAAGCTGAACGTCCTCCTGTCCAAGTTGCTGGTGCTGCAGTCCCTCCCTTTCCAAGTGGTGGACTCAGCACCTTTCCGAGAAATGATGGCTTGTGCCGCCGCCGCGGTGGAGAGTGCCAAGCCGTCATTTCTTCGCCAAAAAGGCAGTGCCAGCCCTGCATTCACATGTAGAAGAGATGGTGGGCCAGTCTTTGAGCATGTCGGTCTCTGCCAAAGTGCACGGCAGCGCCGACGTCGTGTGGAGCTGTAACTACGGTCAGGGACAGTACATGTCATTTACGGCCCACTGGGTGAAACGTGGTGCCGGCACAGCCGCACCAGCAACTTGGACAGGTCACGCCGCTTTTGCCTCCACGTTTGCACGTCCTTGGTCCAGCAAAGATGTCCGCCTCTCTACCACCTCTTCTTCCGCCGTGTCCTCAGCCGCCACCCCCGTGCCAAGTCCCATTACCCGACCGGCATATCACATGTGCAGGGCGCAACGGTGTCACGCTGTGCTGCTGCACCTGGTATGCCTTGGCGAACGTAGTCACACAGGGGAGGAACTTCTGAGTGTAATGAACAGAGAAATCGACAGATGGCTGTCTCCGCGCAAACTGAAAATCGGAACCATGTTGACCGACAACGGAAAGAACATGGTGTCTGCTCTGCGTCAAGGAAGGTTGTGCCATGCGCCATGCATGGCTCACGTGTTCAATCTGGTTGTCAAGCGGTTCCTAAAATCCACCATCCCACTGCAAGACATCTTTAAAATGTCACGTAAACTTTGCATGCATTTCAGCCATTCCTACACCGCAAAGCACACCCTCCTTGAGCTGCTGCAGCGGCAGACAGAACGGAATTCCACAGCATCGCCTGATCTGCGACGTTGCAACAAGGTGGAATTCAACCCTACACATGTTAGACCGCCTTTACGAACAGCGAAAGGCCATCACCGATTTCCTGATGTTACAAGCGGATAAAGGTACTCCCCTGTGTAACTTCGATGTCAGCCATTGGCAGCTCATGCGTGACACTCCTGCCGCTTGCTCAGGCCCTTTGAGGAGGCCACGCTATTCGTGAGTCGGCAGGACTATGGGATGAACGACGTCATTCCTCTGTTGCACGTCCTGGAACAAATGCTGTTAACAATGGCTGGTCAGGGTTGCGGTAGACGTGGCGCACAGATCTCAACGCCACATGACCCCTGTGGGGGCAGGACAGGAAGAAGAGGAGGAGGTAGAGGAGGACATTGGTGCTCAGGAATTATTGAGTGAAATGGGTGGTTTTTCCACTCAGCGGACAGGAGTGGAGGAGCAGGAGCATCTGGTAGAGGAGGAGGAGGAGGAGAGAGAGGACCCAGACGCACCGTGGCAGTATGCTGTGGAGATGGATGGAGGCAGGGAGTCCCTCGCATTCCTTGGCACAAATGGCCCATAGCATGCTCGGTTGCTTGCGTAGCGACAGCCGAATAATAACCATCAGACAGAGGGATGACTTTTGGCTGTCCACCTTGTTGGACCCTCGCTACCGTTCAAAAATGGTGGCCTTTTTCACACCTGCTGAGAGGGAGGCCAAAATAACGTACTATAAAAACCACCTATGTAGTCAGTTGGTCTCTGCCTTTCTGCGCCAACGTCCATCCTCAGACACTGTGGGCCCTGTGCGCTCGCGTTCCGCTGCCATGGCAGCAGGGGAGGGGTGTGGGGTGGGTGGTAGGTAGGAGCAGTGGCAGCTCCACCAGCAGCGGCTGCCTCAGTCTGCAGTCGATGATGAGTAGCTTTCTTCACCAGCGCAGTGAGGAAACTACTAAACCAGCCCAGCAGCAGCAGCAGCATCAGGTGGACCTGGAGCAGGACCTCAAACAACAGGCTTGGGCCTACTTGGACAGCACCCTGCCAACCGAGGTAGACAATCCCCTTGACTACTGGGCAACGAAACTTGACCTTTGGCCCCAACTAGCTGAATTTGCCCTTGAAAGGCTGTCATGCCCGGCCAGTAGCGTGGCATTGGCATCGGAGCGCGTGTTTAGTGCGGCAGGAGGTATTGTAACTCCGCGGAGGACACGACTGTCCACCCAAAGTGTGGAGAGACTCACGTTTGTGAAAATGAATCAGGCGTGGATTAGTCTGGATTTCAAACCACCAGTTCCTGACACAACTGACTAAATCCGCCATGAATCATGCCCCCCATGTTATTATTTTTAACATAGGCCTCTGTATGCTGCACTTTCATGGTTTGGTCTCGCCTCACACTGCTGGGTGCCTCCTCTTGCTGACCTGCCATGCCATCCAGCCAAGTGTGTCATAGGGTGCTGGCAGATTACGGGCCCTCCATTGCTGCTGCATCTGCCAGGCCAGGCCTCTGCCATGGGCCCCTGTACCGCCTCCTCCTCATGCTGCTGCCAGGTCCAGAGTGTCTCATGGGTCCCTGTACGGCCTCCCATTGCTGCTGTCTCCATCGCCACACTCTGCCATGTGCCACTTTCAGGTCTCCTCACACTGCTGGTGTGTGTCCATTTTGTCATTGGGTGCTGGCAGATTACGGGCCTCCCATTGCTGCTGCCAGGCCCGTAATCTGCCATGGGCCCCTGTACCGCCTCCTCATGCTGCTGCCAGGTCCAGAGTGTCTCATGGGTCCCTGTACGGCCTCCCATTGCTGCTGTCTCCATCGCCACACTCTGCCATGTGCCACTTTCAGGTCTCCTCACACTGCTGGTGTGTGTTCCATTTTTTTGTCATAGGGTGCTGGCAGATTACGGGCCTCCCATTGCTGCTGCCATGGGCCTGTAATCTGCCATGGGCCCCTGCCATACCGCCTCCTCATGCTGCTGCCAGGTCCAGAGTCTCTCATGGGTCCCTGTACGGCCTCCCATTGCTGCTGTCTCCATCGCCACACTCTGCCATGTGCCACTTTCAGGTCTCCTCACACTGCTGGTGTGTTCCATTTTTTGTCATAGGGTGCTGGCAGATTACGGGCCTCCCATTGCTGCTGCCAGGCCTGTAATCTGCCATGGGCCCCCCTGTACCGCCTCCTCATGCTGCTGCCAGGTCCAGAGTCTCTCATGGGTCCCTGTACGGCCTCCCATTGCTGCTGTCTCCATCGCCACACTCTGCCATGTGCCACTTTCAGGGTCCTCCTCACACTGCTGGTGTGTTCATTTTTTTTGTCATAGGGTGCTGGCAGATTACGGGCCTCCCATTGCTGCTGCCAGGCCTGTAATCTGCCATGGGCCCCTGTACCGCCTCCTCATGCTGCTGCCAGGTCCAGCAGTGTCTCATGGGTCCCTGTACGGCCTCCCATTGCTGCTGTCTCCATCGCCACACTCTGCCATGTGCCACTTTCAGGTCTCCTCACACTGCTGGTGTGTTCCATTTTTTGTCATAGGGTGCTGGCAGATTACGGGCCTCCCATTGCTGCTGCCAGGCCTGTAATCTGCCATGGGCCCCCGTACCGCCTCTCCTCATGCTGCTGCCAGGTCCAGTCTCTCATGGGTCCCTGTACGGCCTCCCATTGCTGCTGTCTCCATCGCCACACTCTGCCATGTGCCACTTTCAGGTCTCCTCACACTGCTGGTGTGTTCCATTTTGTCATAGGGTGCTGGCAGATTACGGGCCTCCCTCCCATTGCTGCTGCCAGGCCTGTAATCTGCCATGGGCCCCCTGCCTACCGAATTCTCCTCATGTTTCATGCTGCTGCCAGGTCCAGAGTGCTGTCATGGGTGCCCTTTCACGGCCTCCCATTGCTGCTGCTTCCCCGTCATACTGACATGCCAGATTACGGGCCCCATCAGTGCTCAGGGTTAATTGCCTGCTGCCTGTACCCTCCATGCTGCTGCCAGGTCCAGAGTCTCATGGGTCCCTGTACGGCCTCCCATTGCTGCTGTCTCCATCGCCACACTCTGCCATGTGCCACTTTCAGGTCTCCTCACACACTGCTGGTGTGTTCCATTTTGTCATAGGGTGCTGCTGGCAGATTACGGGCCTCCCCATTGCTGCTGCCAGGCCCGTAATCTGCCATGGGCCCTGTACCCGCCTCCTCATGCTGCTGCTGCCAGGTCCAGAGTCTCTCATGGGTCCCTGTACGGCCTCCCATTGCTGCTGTCTCCATCGCCACACTCTGCCATGTGCCACTTTCAGGTCTCCTCACACTGCTGGTGTGTGTTCCATTTTTTGTCATAGGGGTGCTGGCAGATTACGGGCCTCCCATTGCTGCTGCCAGGCCCTGTAATCTGCCATGGGCCCCCTGTACCGCCTCCTCCTCATGCTGCTGCCAGGTCCAGAGTCTCTCATGGGTCCCTGTACGGCCTCCCATTGCTGCTGTCTCCATCGCCACACTCTGCCATGTGCCACTTTCAGGTCTCCTCACACTGCTGGTGTGTTCATTTTTTTGTCATAGGGTGCTGGCAGATTACGGGCCTCCCATTGCTGCTGCCAGGCCTGTAATCTGCCATGGGGGGTGTACCGCCTCCTCATGCTGCTGCCAGGTCCAGAGTCTCTCATGGGTCTGTCACCCCATTGCTGCTGGGGCCCGCCATCATTGTACAGGCCTCCTCATGCTGCTGCCCACTCCTGCCATGGGTCCATTTGCTGTGTCATAGGGTGCTGGCAGATTACGGCCTCCCATTGCTGCTGCCAGGCCCGTAATCTGCATGGGCCCCCGTACCGCCTCTCTCATGCTGCTGCCAGGTCCAGAGTCTCTCATGGGTCCCTGTACGGCTCCCATTGCTGCTGTCTCCATCGCCACACTCTGCCATGTGCCACTTTCAGGTCTCCTCACACTGCTGGTGTGTTCCATTTTTTGTCATAGGGTGCTGGCAGATTACGGGCCTCCCATTGCTGCTGCCAGGCCCTGTAATCTGCCATGGGCCCCTGTACCGCCTCCTCATGCTGCTGCCAGGTCCATCTGTCAGTCTCTCATGGGTCCCTGTACGGCCTCCCATTGCTGCTGTCTCCATCGCCACACTCTGCCATGTGCCACTTTCAGGTCTCCTCACACTGCTGGTGTGTTCCATTTTGTTTTTTTGTCATAGGGTGCTGGCAGATTACGGGCCTCCCATTGCTGCTGCCCAGGCCTGTAATCTGCCATGGGCCCCTGTACCGCCTCCTCATGCTGCTGCCAGGTCCAGAGTCTCTCATGGGTCCCTGTACGGCCTCCCATTGCTGCTGTCTCCATCGCCACACTCTGCCATGTGCCACTTTCAGGTCTCCTCACACTGCTGGTGTGTTCCATTTTTGTCATAGGGTGCTGGCAGATTACGGGCCTCCCATTGCTGCTGCCAGGCCTGTAATCTGCCATGGGCCCCTGTACCGCCTCCTCATGCTGCTGCCAGGTCCAGATGTGTCTCATGGGTCCCTGTACGGCCTCCCATTGCTGCTGTCTCCATCGCCACACTCTGCCATGTGCCACTTTCAGGTCTCCTCACACTGCTGGTGTGTTCCATTTTGTCATAGGGTGCTGGCAGATTACGGGCCTCCCATTGCTGCTGCAGGCCCGTAATCTGCCATGGGCCCCGTACCCGCCTCCTCATGCTGCTGCCAGGTCCACAGAGTCTCTCATGGGTCCCTGTACGGCCTCCCATTGCTGCTGTCTCCATCGCCACACTCTGCCATGTGCCACTTTCAGGTCTCCTCTCACACTGCTGGTGTGTTCCATTTTTTGTCATAGGGTGCTGGCAGATTACGGGCCTCCCATTGCTGCTGCCAGGCCTGTAATCTGCCATGGGCCCCTGTACCGCCTCCTCATGCTGCTGCCAGGTCCAGAGTCTCTCATGGGTCCCTGTACGGCCTCCCATTGCTGCTGTCTCCATCGCCACACTCTGCCATGTGCCACTTTCAGGTCTCCTCACACTGCTGGTGTGTTTGCTGATTTTTGTCATAGGGTGCTGAGCAGATTACGGGCCTCCCATTGCTGCTGCCCAGGCATGGGCCCCGTAATGTGCCATGGGCCCCCGTATTCCGCCTCCTCATGCTGCTGCCAGGTCCAGAGTGTCTCTCATGGGTCCCTGGAAACTGCTTGGTGTGTTCCATTTTGTCATAGGGGTGCTGGCAGATTACGGGCCTCCCATTGCACTGCTGCCAGGCCCGTAATCTGCCATGGGCCCCCGTACCGCCTCCTCATGCTGCTGCCAGGTCCAGAGTGTGTCATGGGTCCCTGTACGGGCCTCCCATTGCTGCTGTCTCCATCGCCACACTCTGCCATGTGCCACTTTTTCAGGTCTCCTCACACTGCTGGTGGGTTCCATTTTGTCATAGGGTGCTGGCAGATTACGGGCCTCCCATTGCTGCTGCCAGGCCCGTAATCTGCCATGGGCCCCCGTACCGACTCCTCATGCTGCTGCCAGGCCCGTAATCTGTCATGGGCCCTGTACCGCCTCCTCATGCTGCTGCCAGGTCCAGAGTGTGTCATGGGTCCCTGTATGGCCTCCTCAACCCATTGACTGCTGTCTCCATTGCCACACTCTGCCATGTGCCACTTTCAGGTCTCCTTCACACTCCATCCTCAGACACTGTGGGCCCTGTGCGCTCGCGTTCCGCTGCCATGGCAGCAGGGGAGGGGTGGGGTGGTAGGAGCAGTGGCAGCTCCACCAGCAGCAGCTGCCTCAGTCTGCAGTCGATGATGAGTAGCTTTCTTCACCAGCGCAGTGAGGAAACTACTAACCAGCCCACAGCAGCAGCAGCATCAGGTGGACCATGGAGCAGGACCTCAAACAACAGGCTTAGGCCTACTTGGACAGCCACCCTGCCAACCGAGGTAGACAATCCCTTGACTACTGGGCAACGAAACTTGACCTTTGGCCCCAACTAGCTGAATTTGCCCTTGAAAGGCTGTCATGCACCGGCCAGTAGATTGGCATCGGTTCCTCACTAGGCGGCGATTGTGTTTAGTGCGGCAGGAGGTATTGTAACTCCGCGGAGGACACGACTGTCCACCCAAAGTGTGGAGAGACTCACGTTTGTGAAAATGAATCAGGGCTGTGGATTAGTCTGGATTTCAAACCACCAGTTCCTGACACAACTGACTAAATTCGCCATGAATCATGCCCCAAACATGTTATTATTTTTAACATAGGCCTCTGTATGGCCTTCAATTTAAGCTGCTTACGCTTCGCCACTCTGCCATGGGCCCCTGTACCGCCTCCTCTTGCTGCTGCCAGGTCCAGAGTGTGTCATGGGTCCCTGTACGGCCTCCCATTGCTGCTGACTTCATCGCCAGACTCTGCCATGTGCCACTTTCAGGTCTCCTTACACTGTTGGTGGGTTCCATTTTGTCATAGGGTGCTGGCAGATTACGGGCCTCCCATTGCTGCTGCCAGGCCCGTAATCTGCCATGGGCCCCCGTACCGCCTCCTCATGCTGCTGCTGCCAGGTCCAGAGTGTGTCATGGGTCCCTGTACGGCCTCTCCCATTGCTGCTGTCTCCATCGCCACACTCTGCCATGTGCCACTTTCAGGTCTCCTCACACTGCTGGTGGGTTCCATTTTTTGTCATAGGGTGCTGGCAGATTACGGGCCTCCCATTGCTGCTGCCAGGCCCGTAATCTGCCATGGGCCCCCGTACCACCTCCTCATGCTGCTGCCAGGTCCAGAGTGTCTCATGGGTCCCTGTACGGCCTCCCATTGCTGCTGTCTCCATCGCCACACTACTGCCATGTGCCACTTTCAGGTCTCCTCACACTGCTGGTGGGTTCCATTTTTGTCATAGGGTGCTGTATGGCCTCCCATTGCTGCTGCCTCCACCGCCACACTGTGGCTCCACACTCTGGTTTTGGCCCCGTGACTGCCCAAATGAGTGAAGTGTGCGGTGATTCTAAGATCGACGGCACTCATCTGCATGTCATACTGACTGACAGTATTATTTCTCTTCCCCAGCAGACTCCAAGGGCATTTAAATTAAAGGTACAGTGTTCTGCACTAATATAAAGGCTCTCTGAAGCCTAGAAAAACCTTTTTATAAGTTAAATTTGCAGCGAATATATTCGCATCGAATCGAATTTTATTCCTCGAATTCGCCGAATCAGCCGAATCGAATTTTTGAATACTTCGCTCATCTCTACTAATCATGTTTGAGGGAAATTAAAGAAAACTATTTTTGCTAGTGAAAGATTGGGTATTCCAAGCAAATGCAGGTTCACCCTATTTGCTAACATTTTCATTGCAATGTTAACATTCACTCTACTCCATTAGCTACTAGACCCTTATGTGTTTTGTAGGACCTCCGAACACTCTCATTGCACATTTGGACAGAGGCTATTGAATCAACTGAGATTCTGGTTTTAGATGTGTGTTCTGAGACTATAAAGTAGAGATCTTTGCAGCTGTGTTCCCAGTGTGCACATCTGCTGTCCCCATTAAAGGGAAACTCATTATCCCATGTGGATTTCTTCTAATGTATATTATGCAGATTCCCACAAGAAAAGTGAGAATGTATGGTGGAAGAGAGCATACTTGAATATCACTGCTGTAGCTTTCAGATTCAAACCAGCAGCTGAATCAAACCACCAGTATCCACCCAGTGTTACATTTGAATGTACACATTTTTTTTTCAATCTAGCTTTTTCTTTTACTGTGGCATAGTCTGTAGGATTTCGGATACAACAAGAAATTGGCCATGGTGATTTTTTTTTATAAAAAAAGTTCTCACTGGAACAGGTGCCCCAAGAGAAGATTTTCCCTCTATTCCTGTTCTGGTGATAACAGTAAAATGTAAAATTTCTAATCACTTTTTCTTTGTTATAATTATCATTAAGATAAGTAGTGGGAATACAGATTTTAACTTAAAATGTACAGAGAAGCAAAAATGGAGCACCATACCAATTGTTACGCCCTGGTTCACACTGTTGTGACTTTTTATGCGATTTGACAGTTTCAAATCACATAAGTCACACCCTATTGTCTGCGATGGAATTGTTCTCCATGTGACTCCGAATTTGTGCTGCTGCAGCGATTTGAAAAAAGGCTCCTGTACTATTTTTTTGCAATTTCAGGTGTGACTTGCATAGACATCTGTGCAATATATTATTATTATACAGTATTTATAAAGCGCCAATAGTTCGCTCAGCGCTATACATTACAGAGGGGGACAGAACATGTGACAGAACAATACCAATACAATGCAAAACATGAGGGGATTGAGGGCCCTGCTCTTTCGAGCTTACAATTGCATGAAGTTGCAGATGTCTGCCAAGTTGCACTGACATGTGGCTTTTGAAATTGTGCAACTTCAAGTGAAGTCACACAATTTTAAAGTTGGATCCAGTGTGAACCAGGGCTTAGAGTCCAAACAGCTGTGAAAACTGTTATAGCAAACAGAATTTTATCCTTATGAAAATATTTGTTTGAGCTGTTCATTAATTATAAGATAATTATAATATAAGATATATTTTATATATTGTATATAAGATATGAATACATATAAATTAAATAAAATATTAATACTATTTATTAAAATAAAAATAAAAAATAAATATAAAGATGTATGTAAGATAATTTATAATAGTTATGCTGTTTTCATCAAAACCTATATCAAATTCCTGATGGAAAAAGTATTTGGAAGCCCCCAAAACATTTTGGCTTACAGGACATTAATAAATAAATGTTACATTTGGACTGTACTGTCAACAAATGTGTGACGCTCCATATTTCTTTCTCTCCATATTTCATATTTCTATGTGGATTTTGATCCAAGGCACCTTCTATTGATGCCTTCTTTATATATATTTGGAGCTACATTGGATGTAGCGACTCCCAACTGCACTTTATCAAAAGAAATAAAAATATTAGAGTAGGTTTAACACTGGCACGAAATATCTAAAAAAATGTTTTGGCTTCATATGCACTTTAACAGAAAAGTAATCAAATTGTCTTAATGCACATTTTTAAACAATGACATTGTTAATGTTTTCTAGGCTAAGTTTTGACTTTGTATTAATTTCCGTTATAACGGCCATGATCACTTTAATAGCCTCATAAAGCAGTATAAAGGGATAGTTAAACTAAATATTATTATTATTATACAGTATTTATATAGCGCCAAAGGGTATGTTCAGCACTGTACAGTAGCAGGGGGGACAGAACATGAGACAAGACGGTAACAATACAATACACGAGGGGTTTGAGGGCCCTGCTCTTTCGAGCTTACAATCTAGGAGTATGGATAACAAGACACACTATAGTGACTTGACATTTTTAAATTGATTGTGAAAAATCGCAAAAATACTTTTAGATAAATGTTATAATAAAAACTGAAACTTTGTTTTAAAAACAAACAGCAGATTTTCATTAAGAATTCCAATTCCTCTTTATGAAGTCACTATCATGTTCCACCACTCCCAAAACTTTATCAATCCAGGAGCCATGATCTCATAAATCTTCCAAAACCCACTGTATACGATAGTCAGGTTTTGGCTTGATTCATACTGTAGCAACCTTATAAATACCTTTGTTTCTGGGCAGATGCAGATGATTCCCTTGAAAGATGCAATAAACATGGAACACAAATCAACAAAAATAACTTATGTGAAGCGTTCTTTTGGTGTACAGTGAAGAATTCAAATTTTTACACATCATAATCTCTAAAACTACAGAGGCTCAGAATACCATATAGCAAACCTATAGGCTTCTCAATGGTTTTTTGATATACAGTGCATTTTGTATATAATAAATAAATGAATCATGTACAAGCATCAATAGTAAGCAAAACAGGGTTTGGAGGTCAGTAGTACGTAATGCATGGTGCAGAGTAGACATGTGCAACTGGTTTCGTTTTGATTCGCTTCTCAGACAAAAAAATTATTTTCGAAGATTTGGATCTATCCGAATTTCCAAATGAATATAGAAATGAATGACATCACATTTTCAAATTTGTTTGATAACATAAGGAATGATCTGAATGATTCCAAACCCCGCCCTCATGTTTATCTGTCATTTTGCGAGTGACGTGTTTCATTGAGAGAGATCACTAGAGTCAAGGGGAGGAAAGTCCTCTCGAGTCTCTTGTGCCAAAGACTTCCCTTAGCTCCAAAATGCCTTTTTGCCCCATTGATGTGAGGTCTGAGAGGTGGTAGGTGCACATTTTACTTTAATATCCTATTGGTCAGATAAAAAGGTTATGTAATGTAACATCATTTAGATGTAGCCTTACAGCTACTGTTACAGCAGCTCTTAAAAGCAAATTGGCAAGTAAAAATAGAAAAAAAAAAAGTTTTGTTTTTTTTTTTAAAATGTGTCTATTTAATCCCTTATTAACCCTTAGTTTACTATACTCAGTCTTAATTACCTCTTTTTTCCTCTTCCCCATTCAGCTATGTTTTAACTGCTTTTTTTTTGTTTTGCTTATATTTGATTAACCATTATTATTTAAATGTTTTTGTTTACTTTTTTTTTCTTTCAAATTTTGTGTTCTTCTATGTGACACTAAAAAAAAAAAAAAAAACAATCTGATTTGTGAATAACTCTGTAATGCTTTGTACCAGAATCATAATTTTTGTTATTTTGAGCAGGACAAGTTAGAAAATAAAATATATGCTTTTATTCTACAGTAAAACTATTTAACCACTTCAAAGGCTTGTTTCAACATGTCTCACATACATGTAAAACCTGCATTATGCCTTATTTTTTTTTTCAATTTTTTAAAATTAACATTTTTTTTTTTTTTATTATTTCTTTAATTTTTTTTCAACTTTATTGCTGTCACAAGGGTTGAACAACATCTCTTATGATAACATGAACAGTGACAGGTACTCTTTACTGAGAGATCTTGGTTTATTAAACTCCAGGTCTTTCCTCTGCCCTCAAAAGCATCTGATCAAGCCAAGATCGATCAGATACAATCCAGTAACTGCTTGTAAGCAACAAGCCAAAAATGGATGTGAAAAAATCCTCAGTTTCTGATGCCACAGAGGAGAAGCAGATAAAGATGTACCTGCCTTTCCTCTGTGTTCAGATGGACAGATAGGTTGTAGCGATCGTGGGCTCCCCGACTGCACCAGAGAGTTCAGGAACAGCAGTAGGAGGTGGTCCTGTAGAAGTGATCCGGTCGCTCTATGGCAGGGGTCTCCAAACTATGGCCCTCCAGCTTTTGAAGTACTACAAGTCTCATCATAGAAACAAAGATAGAATAGGTAGGTGCTATATATATATATATATATATATATATATATATATATATCAAAATCGAAATACAATATAGAAGGGATGTGTATATACAAATAATCCCTATAACTAATCACTCTATATTGTGTAAGGCCTCCAAAACTTGGGCCAACTGTAGTGACCCTAGACAAATCTTGTCTCAGTGTTTTTCTATTCTAAGTGAAGCTGCTCCTAATTAAGTGTGATTAACACTTATAACATGCAAATAAAATATAAATAGATAGGTGCTACATTTGCCCAAACAATAGACTTCATATAGTGCAATAATTACAAGATTGTTTCATCATGTCTGGTCCTCTGGGAGTCTTGCTTGTGGCTGTCAGAGTCTTGCAAGGCCTCATGGGACTTACAGTTCCTCAACACCTGGGGCGCCATAATTTGGAGACCCCTGTTCTATGTGAAAGCCCTTCGTCAGCCACAAATTTTAAAACTGGGATCATGGTTGCAACTGCAGCCACGATCCTGGTACAACCACTTCAACCTGAGGATGTATGAGTACTTCCCAAAAGCCTGAAGTTGTTAAGCAAACACTGGTCAAACATTTTTTGTCTTAGGGTTGCAAGACAATGTCATTAAAAAAACTATATATGACAAAGTTATTGCCAAATAAAAAGGTCCATAACAGAATGTAAAAATTGCTCTGAAATATAGGGGGTGTATGGGTGTGACAGGTGAAGTACTTAAAGAATAATGGTACCTTCAAACAAACCTTCAGTAGAAAAAAAACATGTAATGCAGCATCACTGGTAAATCTTTTAGCGGTCTTTAGT